ACTCTGCTCAAAACAGATCCAAATCCAACAAGAAGGCCCACCAAACTCGCCCCAATTGCGTTTGAGCATCGCGAACGACTGCCCGAACAACTGATGACCTGCGAGAATTGGAGGGGAATTTTGTTTGTGGAGTGTGAAACTCTGCTCGAAACAGATCTCGATCCAACAAGAAGGCCCGCCAAACTCGCCCCAGTTGCGTTTGAGCATCACGGAAGATTGCCCGAACAACTGATCACGAAGGTCCCCTAAGAGTGCATTTGGCAGTCCGCAAAGAGAACCGCCGACTGTTTGGCACTTCTTGTAGGTGGTCGGGCGACAAACACGTCGGGACTGAAGCCGTTCGGCACCCTGGCGTCTGCTCCATTGGCGAGACAGGAATTTGTGAAGTCTGGATTCCAACGGACTTAGATTGTCAGCCTGTTGAACGGGAATCACAGAGTGGCGCTGTTCGAAGTCATGCCGCCCCGTCAACGGAACCGAAGCCAAAGTCCGTTGTCGTGAGAGTACACTCGCCAAGCAGTACACCTTCGTGGCCCGAACTTCACATGTTCACTACCTTGGCAACGAATGAAGTTCGGATGCCGGCGGACTTGCCGGTATTCGTGGTGGCTCGTCAACAGTTATCCTTTCTCACCTGTATTCTAAGTTCGGATGCCAGCGAACTTCGTGTTTCCGCACACCCGTCGTTCCAACTAGGGTCTTCCTGGTCCAGCACGGGAGAGAAGAACAACACAAGTTCGCCGGCATCTGAACTTCACGTTTTCTGTGCGGGGCCTGACCGAAGAAGTCCGCCCGCAACCGAACTTCACTGACTGCCCTACGCTGCATCCGAACTTCGATGACTGGCCTGCTATGCTGCTAAACAGTTGCGATCGTAGGTATCCGAACTAGAATCATTGCCTAAACATTGTGGAAGGTGCAGCAAGGGTGCAAGCTAGCTCGACGAATTGGATGGTCGTGGACCTGATGTTCTTTTGCATCAGAGCCTCAAGTATTATTGATCTGGGGCAAGTGTGGTGGTACGCCGGCATCCGAACTATCAGACTGCACCCTTGCCTCTCCAGTTGCAATGTTTAGAACCGATCCAAGTTCGGATACCGGCGAACGACAACAGTCCAGCAACGATGGAGGCCAAGCATTGAAGTTCGGATGCGGGCGGACTTCTTCAGTCATCCCCCTCAGCCGGAACGTGAAGTAAGGATGCAAAGTAGGCCAGTCATTGAAATTCAGATGTGGGCGAACTTCTTAAGTTGGCCCCCGCAGACAAACCGCGAAGTTCGGATTCCGGCGAGCTTCTTTCATCCTCCCCTCCCGCACCGGAGCAGGAAGACCCTAATTCCAACGGTGGTGAATATGTGAAGTTCGGATGCCGGCGAACTACAACTGTTCAGCAGCAAAGTAGCCCAATCCTTGAAGTTTGGATGCAGACGGACTTCTTCAGCCAGCCCCCGCAACCGGGACACGAAGTTTGGATGCAAAGTAGGCCAATCACTAAAGTTCGGATGCGGGCGGACTTCTTCAGCCAGCCCCCACAGACAAAACGTGAAGTTCGGATGCCGACGAACTTCTTTTGTCCTCCCCTCTCGTGCTGGACAAGGAATACCTTGGTTCCAACGGAGGTTGTGTGGAAACACGAAGTTCGCTAGCATCCGAACTTCAAATGCTGGTGAGAAAGGATAACTGCCAACGAGCTACCAGGAGGACCGCTAGGTCCGCCGTCGTGTGAACTTCATCCGTTGCCAATGGTGGTTGATACATGAAGTTCGGATGTCGGCGGACTTCGTGCATTCACGCATGGTCTGCAGACTGCAGTCACTACGACCTTCTGTGCTTGCGATTGGACCCCGCAATGCTGTGGCGATGTTCCGAGTTGGGATCGCGACAGACTACCTTAGCGCTTGGTCGGGGTGTTCGAAATGTGTCCTTTGAGGGTCGTCTTAAGCACTACGCATTCTGCGAAAGCATTTGGATGGAGTCCGATGTGGTTCGATGATGAACAAGGTTCGATAATGTCTGATGGCCATGCTGGACAGATCCAATGGAATGTGATCGATTCCCGTGACGCACAAACGCTCGAACAATAAAAACACACACGATCTCTCAATGAGTCAGTCAATCACCGCATCGGTCGTTGGCCGACAACCGAACAGTTCATCAATCACGAGATCGACCACGCTCTGTTGCTCGATGACGTGGTTGATTGGAAGGGTGGTCGTGTTTTGATCGATCGCTCGTTTTCGCTGTTGAGGATCGTGGGGTGCGACAATAGCGAGGCGTGTTTAACCGGACATGCACGCACACACACACTACAAGATACACAATGGTATGGTCTGCATTTGATATAGGTTGTTCACTTGTTTGGGCGCTCTACTGCTGCTATCGATTGGTCGACTCACTTCGGCTGATCACTTGTTTGATATAGTCGAAACGATCTGTTGATCAAAAAGACTGTAGACAATGATGTGCTGATCGACCAGCTTGTTCTATCAAACCGATGCGAACACCTGTTGATTGTGACGACCAAGCGATCGAACAAACATCACACCCTCCGAGTGATCAATCGGTCGATTGACGAACAGATCGTTCCCGATAATGATGCCCGTTCGTTTACGCAGATCAAACACTCGCATGTACGGATCTGCGAAAATGAACGGGCATCAACTCGACGATCAAACTCATTATCGGGAACGGTCTGTTCGTCAATCGTCCGATTGTTCACTCGGAGGG